AAACAATCTAACAATATGTATTATTTTGGCAATCGCTAATTAAGAGTTATTAGTTTTGAGACATTGTTACTTTACATTTGCTATATTATGTTATTTTGGGTCGATTTTGTTGAGGCTCTGCGACTCCGACTAAAACTGGATTAGAACTACAGAAAGGTCCTTCGCTTGTAGCCTGAGCCAGAGGCTAATAATAGCTGCCCTGAGCTATGCTTAAATACAACTGTACAAATACAAAATATAAGACTACAGAGGTCTTCAAAATAAAATGAGAGAAAACGTGGTAATATCTTTCTTGAGACCAATATTCAGAGTATTAGTCTATTTAGTTTGTTTTCTTTGTGAACGTAGGTTTCTATCAGGCAGCGATATAGTCATGCTCCCGCTTCTCTTTCCGCCACTGTTTAAATTGGGTGTTGTTTGTGGTTAGTTGTTGTTTGTTGCACAATATTAGGCACTTATTTGCACCAAAATGCATTGAACAGCGATACAACAGCTATTAAATACGTGACGACTAGTTGTGAGTGTTTTATGCGATTGGATTTTTCTCATTTGCCTTGCCAAGTCTATTCTAGTGGCCAGCTGTCATGACTCTACCTCCAGAGAAAGCACCCGAGTTGAAGCAAATCATTCACAACCATCTGATGAAGGTAAACAATGTCTATACTTAATTTTTAGAAATATTTTTCTTCGTGATTTAATTTGGGATTAAAATATTGTTACTTTCCCACTCTGCCTTCCGTGCTAGCCGGACACTTGTAATAACAATAATAAAGCTAGCTACTGCAGCAACAGTCTACTAACCTACTTACTTGCTGAGTGCATTTAACCTTACTTTGATTTATTTATTCTAAGGATTATAGTATGATTAGTAATAGTAGCATGTATACTTTAGTATTGTTATAATACTGTGCTTAAGTTTTTGTTACCTTTCATATGTAGATCAAAAATGGCATATTGTGAATTAGTTTACATTTTTGGTTGATTCTTTTTCCCGATATATATATTTTTTCCTTCTAGATGAATATTCATGGCAAGATCCGAGAGGTCTTAGCGGAGACTGTGAGAGATGATTCTGGAGTGACCAATCTGTCTGAGAAAGACTTTCTCCATGCTCTACAACGCCGGGGCATCATAGACAGTGTCATGAAAGATCTGCATTTTACTCAGGTCACCTAGCAATTCGAAGTCAATGTTGTCTTTAAAACAGTAATTGATATTTATAATTAACATGCAAATGCAAATGTACATTTTCATTGTTTGTTATAGCCCAGAGCAGCAGAGGTAGAAACACAGTCTCTATCAAGACCTGCTACACATTTCATCGATCAAGATGAGATGCAGCTAAGGAAAAGTAAGTCATTTTAGTCAACTGTTATTGCATTTCTGCTACATCAGTTATGAGTTTGCTATTATAGTTTATTTGCATGTAGTACTGATCAATTCTAGTAAACAGCAGTGTTTTCCATTAATATGATTATGATGGCCACTCATAGTAATATGCTACAAATTACACTTTATGCTTCCAGTGCTTTCATAAACATAAATAAGTTTGATCAGTACAATAAGTGACATTTATACTAAAATGTATATTAAAAGTATTCAAATATTTATTGCTTGTACTACCGTACTCTGTATTTTTTGTAGCTGATGCCTTATTTACCCCTCAATAAAACCTTTTTTTTCTTCTTCTTTCAATTTTTTTAAATATAGCTAACATCGACCCAGGCAGACGATACCTTTACCTCCAAATACAAGGCGGTAAGGCCTTTCTGGAGCATCTTCAGGAGCCAGAGCCATTACCTGGTCAGGTGTGCTCCACATTTACACTGTACCTGCATTTTCGCAATCAGAGGTTTCGCTCCAAACCGGTGCCCTGTGCCTGTGAACCTGACATAAAGGAAGGCTTTCTCCTAGAGGTCCACAAAGATGATCTGGGTAAGAATCAGTGTTTCGATGTTACAAAAAGCTGTTTAAGTCAAGTGTGAGAAAATTTGAGAATGTGTATCTGTGTCACTACAAAGCCAGTGTCTTTGAGGTCTGTGGATTCTGAGTACATCTACTGTTGACGTACTCATATTTTTGTGTTGTGTATTTAAATAGACTCTCCTTGCTCCTGATAGTGATACATTTTGTATTTGTAGGAGAAGGCAGTAGAATGGCAGATGGCACCACAATGCTGTCTATCTGCGACCCTGTTCATTTGGTGCTGATAAAAACAGACACATCCAGTGAAACCATGATGGTATCGTCACATTTTCTCGACTGGAGGACTGTTCTTAGTTCACCCAGTGGCAAAACATGCATCGGAGTAGAGATGATGGGTGTTGGTAAGAATTTAACAAAATGAGTTTTCATTTACAGGTTACACTGTTTTACCCTACAGTGGTTTCTTTCAACCTAGACATACTTGAGGGCAAGGCAAAGGTATAATTAAATTCATTCCAGTAATGTCATCTACCATTACTAACAATTACTGTGGTATTCTTCTGGGTTTTTGAGAAATTGAGTAAATGGTTTGAAGTGGCCATGCATTTGATTTTTCCAAGACCATCAAACCAGATAATTTTTTTTCTCCTCAATCCAAATACTCTCTGAAACGTATATATTTACTTAAACCATAGATTGCTCAATCATAAATAATAAAGGAAGTGTATATCTGTTACTGACTAACTCACTTTTGTGTTCAGGAAGTGAATGTAAAGTCCCAGCTGGTATTTTGACTGTGAGTCTGGAGCTCTACCCTCGACTGACAGAGACCATCAGCTCAGAGATCATTTCCACACAGGTCAGTGTACAGTATAGTTTTACATATTTTTTTTTTTTCTTGTTTTATTTTCTTTCCAAAGCAAAACCAACCAACCAAGCCCATTTCCTCTACCTATCTGATCTTGACCTGAAGTACTATACATTTTTTGTAACACTCTTTCTTTCTCCATGTAGCAATCACTTGAAAGACAGAGGACTGCGGAAAAAGAAAGACTGTTCTTAGTTTATGCCAAGCAGTGGTGGAGAGAGTTTCTTGAGATACGTCCTACACACCAGTCCAAAATGGTCAAGATCTTTGCACAGGTTTGGCTCCCCTCCTTTAAAATATCCCATGTTGTTTTTGTGTCTTGTATGTATATATATATTTATATATATATATACATATAAGTTTAGTTTTGTTTTTTTTACTAAATTAAGATGTGAAGTAGGTTGATATGTGTAAAATGTTCAGTATTCACAAGCACCAAGAAGTCAACAATGCATATTCATATATGCACATTCAAATAAATTCATATAGAACTTATTTGCTGTCAAGATCGGCACCCCCATGCAAAATAATGAAACACGAATGGTGATGGTGGCTCCTACGGTAACTTCCGGAATAAAGTCAATAGAAGTTTGCAAAAATGGATCATTTACTGGAATTTGGAAAATGGTTGTGAATTTCACTTTAATTTGATAAAGCTAGTCACATAAGCTTTGTATGATAATCGATTAAACAATTAACATATTTTTCTCATTAAAATAGGATTTAATCAATCTACTGCCAACCCTCTGTCAGTAAAAGCATGTTCTGACTTTATTTTTGCGTTAATTGGCTATTATTAAAAGTCATGAAATTTACATTGACAGACATTTTATGTGTTCTTAATAAGACTAAATAAAATATAATTTGATATGTATTGTAAAACGGCCTTTTACCGGCCTGTTTTCCATCCCTAACTGTAATGACTGTCCATAGGATGAGAACGGTGTAAACAGACCAGTGTGTTCATATGTGCGAGTGCTCCGAGCTGGACGTCTCCTCGAGAGTCCCAGACAGGCAGCCCGCTTTGTCAGCCTGATGGCCCATGAGAAGGCCCCTGTGGTGGGCAGTGGAGTAGGCAAGCACGAGCAGTGGTGCACACTCCTGGCCTTTCTCTGTCGGGGGAAGGTAAGCGCAAAGTGATCAGCTGCTTTTGACAACAGTGTGGAAATTCTTTTTGCAGTAACTAATCTTTTGGACTTTACTAATGAACAAATTTATACAATGTACTGTATCTAGTTAGTTATCTGACCAGCCAGAATTACACAATTTGACAACATTTTACAAAGACTAGTCTGAAACCGTATCATGTCTAATATCCAATCATGCTCCATTCCAGTAAAAACAAACATGGAGGTTTAGGAGTAAGAAAAAGAAGAAAATAAAAACAGAAACAACATGGATTTCTGCTATTTATCTCTGTTAAGTTATATATTTTGTTCTGAGTAATAGGAGAATTTAGCATTTTGCTTCCGCATTTGAGAGACACATGGTACAAATTAGCGGCTATGGCTGGATTGGAGGTTTTTCTTGCTCTGTGGTTCAATTCCAAACACTTCTGGATTGAAAAAGAATGTAGGCTGGTCAGGAGGTCAGCTACTGTATTAATGTTGCAAATCAACTCATCTTTTAATCTTCATCTTCTCAACTTCTAATTTATCCTTGCTGATTATACCAATCGATGCCTTTACAAATGACAAAAGTAACTG